TAGCATTCTGTCTCTCTGTCCCAAGTGTGTCGTGTGAACGGTCGGGGATCATAGCTGTTGAGGGTTTTTTTTTGTTTTTTGTTCTTTTTGTTTAAACCAGAGGCATCATGAGAATCTCTTGTCAGCCCCTGCCACCTACTGACCAGCACTAATGTTGTTAGATGGTAGTAACAATAGATATTAACTTGCACTTAATGTTAATAATGTGCACATCAGCCTTGTGCGGAATTCAATTGGCGCAAAGGAGCATCATACAATGTAATGCTGTATGTAGGAGAAAATATTAAGGTATTTACTGCAATGGACCTGCTTCACCAAGCAGAAGGAAAAAATGCAGGAGCTGCAAAGACTGGACATGATGTTCATTTAAACTCTGGTTCTATTTTGGTTGGTTTGGTTTTTAAATACCATTTGTTTTTTGTAGCGCATTGCTGCAGCTTAGGTCAGCCATCCTATCAGAGAGAGTTTTTTCTTCTGCGTGTTCCAGCTGTTAAGCAAAGAATCTTTAAGTGTTCTGGAATTTAATCTGTGACTTGCCTGCTCAAAACTTGTATGCCCTGATCCAAGCTGGCATTTACACATATGTGTAACTAAGCACGCATGTAGACTCATTGAAGTCAGGGCTTATATACTTATAGTAATACACAGTAAAGGCCTTAAAACCCATTTGTTAAAGTGTTTTTTTTCTCTAGAAGAAAAACAAATTGTGTTTAAATATTAAGTAAAACTAACTAAAGACCTTCAGTGTTTAGAGAACACCGGGGAAAAAATTGCTTTTTATGAAAGTCTTTGTACAGTTTTATAGCTGTCTTTTTATTTAAGTAACGAAGGTCTCGCTGGACATGTTCATACATGGCCCACTTTGCGTATCTTGTATGGTGGTGAGTTTTAAATGAGATCTCAGTATAATGTATATTAAAGTATGATTTTAATGCAAACCAGTTGTGGGTGTTATTTTTTCACATGAGGAGGAGGAAGAAGAGTGTATTACCAAGTTCTCACTTGTGAGGCTGTTTTGGGGAACTTGTAGGCTGTTGCACATCTGAAAAATGTCTCTTGGTGGGGAGGTATCTGCAGCTTCTTTGTGGGTAATCTGTGTTCTAAACTTGGTTCTGGCCTTGTTGATCCAGTGAGATCTGTCCTAATTCATCCCTTTTCATAGATCCCTTCCTTATAAACACACACAAACTTTACCCTTCTCTATTTCTCATTCAGCTCTCCCAAGCATACAACTTGTGCATCAGCAGTGCGCTCTAACATAACTGTGCATAACTAGGAATCCTCCAGAAGCTACTGTTTATAGGATAGGAAGCCTGGCACCTATGCCTGTCTTCTATCTGAGGAGTGATACCCCCCTGAATTTGAACTGCTGGCTGGCCCAATTTGCCCCAGATTTCACCAATGTCCATGTCTTTGCCTGGCCCGAACAGAGGTGGATCACCCTTCAGCTGTCTTGTTTTTAAATCCTGTTAGGCTGAAGCATAACTTCTTAAACTGGTGTCTTGTCCAGTACAAACAATACTTTTTTTTTTTTAAAGTGTTCTCTCTAATGGAGCTTAAAATTAGTATTTTTTTTCCTAATTGCCATGCAGACAGGGATATTATCTCTTTAGCTCTCACTTGTGGCATGATAAATTTAACTTGCAAAATAAGTGTGTAATTAATATATACAAAATTTTTATGCAGATGCTGTCTGTGATGCTGCAGAATAATCTTTACTGCTACATTGGGAAGGCAAAGGAAGGATTGCCTTCTGGTTCAGGAAGACCTGGCTTCATTTTCCAGACTATCACAGGCTTTTGGGGCAGGTTGTTTATCTGTATGCCTCAGTTCCACACCTGTAAAATGGGGATGATGCTTCCCTCCATCCTGGGCTGTTGTGAAGATAAATGTTTGTGTTGGGAAGGTGCTCACTCATGGCAGTGGAGACTGAAGCTATACCTAGATGGATGCCACTTTCTGTGGCTGTTGCTCTTGGTTTTTATAATGTGCCATTCCTGCCAATTGACTTTAAGATAATTAGCATCAGCTACTATAGGAATGGGCATAATAGAATATATATTACACCCACACACACTACATTAAAAGCAGGAATCCGTTCTGGTTCTGTTCAATATCTTCATCAATGATTTAGATAATGGTGTAGAGCAGTGGTGGGCAACCTGCGGCCCATAGGCCGCATGCAGCCTGTCATGGTAATCCACTGGCGGGTCGTGAGACAGTTTGTTTACATTGACCGTCCACAAGCACAGTTTCCAGTGCCTAGGAACCCACTGCCACTGGGAGCTGCAGACGGTCAATATAAACAAACTGTCTTGCGGCCCACCAGCGCATTACCCTAATGGGCTGCAGGTTGCCCACTGTTGGCGTAGTAGAGAGTACTCTTATAAAGCTTTGTGAATGATACCAAGCTGGGAAAGGTTGCAAGTGCTTTGGAGGATAGGATTAAAATTCAAAATGATCTGGACAACCTGGAGAAATGGTCTGAAGTAAGTAGGATGAAATGCCATAAGGACAAATGCAAAGTACTCTATTTAGGAAGGAACAATCAGCTGAACGCCAACAAAATGGGAAATGGCGGCCTAGGAAGGAGAACTGCACAAAGGCGTCTGAGGGTCAGAGTGGATCACAAGCTAAACAGGAGTGAACAGTGTAACGCCGCTTCAAAAAAAAACCCCGGCAAACATCATTTCTGGGATGTATTAGCAGGAGTGTTGTAAGCAAGACAGGAGAAGTAATTCTTCTGCTTTACCCCATGTTGATTGGACCTCAACTGGAGTATTGGGTCCAGTTCTGGGTGCTACATTTCAGGAAAGATGTGGACAAATTGGTGAAAGTTCAGACAAGAGCAACAAAAATGATTAAAGGTCTAGAAAACATGGCCTATGAAGGAAGATTGAAAAAATTGGGTTTGTTTAGGCTGGAGAAGAGAAGACTGAGGGGGGGACATAACAGTTTTCAAGCACATAAAAGGTTGTTTCAAGGAGGAAGGAGAAAAATTGTTCTCATTAACTTCATAAGCTAGAACAAGAAGCAATGGGCTTCAGTTGCAGCAAGGGCAGTTTAGCTTGAACATTAGGGAAAACTTCCTGTCAAGGTAGTTAAGCACTGGAATAAATTGCTAATGGAGGTGGTTCAGCATCAGTGCTGGTATAGCTTGGAAATGTATTAACTCCCTATGGGTTCCCTCTGTTTCTACAAGGTCATTCAGCCCATAGTTGTACCTTAAGTACTAGCCCACACAAACACCATGGAGCAAGGGGAGAGGTTAGAGCCCGTGGAGCTGTGCAACAGAGGTGACCATCCAGGTGCCCTCTTGATAACTCCCGAGCGGATTATGGCAAGGTGCTTTTGAACCCCACCTTAAATAAATGCTGAAGCAAGGAGATAGCCCAGCAGCTCACCTAATCAATGTATTTCACTTGGAGCACAGGACCTTGCTGCTCGGGGGCAGCCCTTGCTGCCTATTGTTTCCCGAGTGGAGTTTATGGCTTGGAACAATGAAAACAAAACATTTTTGCTATATTTTGTTGGAGGGGGGGGACCATCTCTATTTGTAATATGCACAGATTTTTGCCCCCATCATCCCTGCTAGAGACAAATGTCACATTAACCCACTGTATGTTTGTATCTCTTTTCTGGGGTAATGGATCACGTGGTCATGCTAGGAGACTAGTGCATTGTTGCTTGGAGGGGAGGGGGAAGAAAAGCCATGAATCCACTTTCTGAAATTTGCACAGTCATGGCTTTTGAAGGCATTTGCATTTCTCCTTCCCCACCTCTAGGTCCCCAGCTCCCTCCTCTGTGCTTTCTATCAACTTTCTGGTGGGCAGATGGAATAAGGAGAGGTGGGCAGGCTCTTCTATTCTGTAGCGGGAACACACTCACTTCTCATTCGAAAAGGGAAAAGAGCTAGAGTGCAGTTGCATCATAATGAGCATCTCTGACCCCTCAATCGCAATGAGTCTCTTTCCCCTAGGGTGACCAGATAGCAACTGTAAAAAATCAGGACAGGGGGTGGGGGGTAATAGGAGCCTATATAAGAAAAAGCCCCCAAAATCGGGACTGTCCCTATAAAATCGGGACATCTGGTCACCCTACTTTCCCCAGTGCATCTCCACTTCCCGATTTTCACAGACAGTCTCCTTCTTTGGATGAAATCATCTTGAATTAACGCGTAAAGGGAAACATGGAGCCATTTGTAGGATTGAAGAGGGCATTCACTCACGAAAGCTTATGCTCCAATACATCTGTTAGTCTTAAAGGTGCCACAGGACTCTCAGTTGCCATTTGGAGGATTGTGAGCCTTGCTAATATGCTCACATCTCAGATAATCTACTTTTGGATTGTTGTCGTCTTCTCAGTGTCACATGCCTGTAGTGAAAATATTTCAAAGGCAAGTTTTGTTTTAATCTTTTCAGCTTTCTGTGGCTTTCTCAGGGTTTCTCCTACATTCCTCTTCTTTGCTCTTCTCATCACTATGCCGGCTGTCTCTTCAATGCCACATAAAGTGCACACAAAAATCAACCAGATGCTCTTTGAGTCTCCAAGAAAAAGCACAGGTGAACACAAATCCGTAGCTGATAAAGCATTTAATGAAGCAAAGATACTAGCCCTATTCTCTGCCCTGACCTCGTGCCTGTATAGGGATCCCTGCCTTTATTCCACAAAAATAAAAATCCACAGACGTTAACTAAGTCTTCATTTTTGTTACCTTTCATCCATCTAGTACTAAGTTGGTAGTGAATTGTGAACTACTTTTCACTGGCCTAGACGAGACCAAAGTAACATCTGTGTCTAGGGATGGTGGATTTTAATTTTGTCTCCTTAGGGTTATCTGTCTGAGTGACAATTTAGCTAAGGCAAGGCCAGCCTTTCCTCGGTTAGAAAGGTCCCCTCCCTGTTTGCAGTTGGCTTGAGCTGTCTGTGCGGTGAATGTGTGCCTCCTTTCATAACTGACTGTGCCACCCTGCAGTTTGCCCCCCCCCCCTTTCCCCACCTTCCCCTTCCTGAAACCTAGTCTCTCTCTCTGAGCTCAGCCCCTCTCGCCTGCCTGTGCTTCTGAGCTCTGCCCCCTCCAGCTGGAGACTCAGGTTTATCTGGAGACTGAGGGGCTCATTCGGGAGCTGAGATCTGAGAGGTGAAGGAGAGATCCATTGGAACCAGGAGAAGGGAAAGGGGCTAGTTTCACTGAAGAGAGGCAGAGCGTGGAGACCATGGCTGGATTCTCAGCTCTTGGGCTGCTCTTTCTTTTTCAACTACTAGCCACCTCCTCAGCTCAGGTAAGAATGTGCCTTTACTGCTAATGGCCAAAAATCCCAGCTATTGATGGAAAAAATACAGAAGGGTCTCATAGCAGCAGGATTAAATATGCACCATATGGCAGCAGGCCAGATAATTGCTGTTCATTTAAAATCAAAAGTTTTGTGTCAAACTGAGAGAGCATATTGCTTGCTAGGTGTCTAGCGGTGAGAGCAGAAGTGTTTCCTGGTTGGGGTTTATTTCATGTCCTATGATATGGAAACTGCCACTTTAAACTTTGTGTAAAAGAATTGTCCTCATAGTTTGGTTTATAGCCGTGTCGGAGAAGCCTCAGGAAAAGGTGATTGGGGGGGTGGAATTGTTTTACTATAAAAGACAAAGTTGCCCACTAAATAAAAATCCCCTGTGCTCCACCTCTTCATCCCATTCAGGGTTTTTCTTCCTCCCACCCCCAGTTGGTCTATTTTTGAGACCTGTTTAGGAACAAGCACATTTAATTTGTATTCATTCAGGTGAAGCTACGTGTATTCGTAGCAAACGTCCCTGTAGTGGCGTTAACTTTCCAGTGTGTATCGTTCAGGAAAATTCTCGGGGGGAGGATTTTTCGTTGCCTTAATGAAGGAATTTTTGCAGCCTGGCTCAGGAATTCTGAGCTGACCCTCGTCTGCTGTGAGCAGAACTAGCTCCACAATGAAACCTTTGTTCCCTCAAGCTGCATTGCAGGTACTCTCTGGAGCTCTTTCCACAAAGCAGACCTTTATAGGATCCCCACTTCTCCCACACCCCTAAGAGCTAAACCCCCACATGCTGTCCAGCTCAGATGGGCAATTACTCAAGTCCCTTTAGCTGTGCCTTCCTTCAGACATTAACTGTATAGTCCCATCTCTTCTGCTGTCTGGTTGTATACGGAATGTGAATGTCACTTTTAATACCAACCGCACGCACAGATTATTCTAACTTGGCTTTGCCTTTTCTCTGTGTCTACACTGTGAGTGACTGGGAACAGCCACTCGTGGAGCAAGGGCAGATATGATTCCCTGTAAGCTTCCCATTCAGTAAACAGCTCCTGCTGAATGGGGATGGGTTGGGTCTCACGGAAGCACCGAGGATGTGCTCCGATTCTTAGCAAATTAAGTCTGGAAAGATTCTTGCTTCCTCTGAGTCTGTCATGGATAGAGAAGGGGAGCTGGAGTTGCGCTGTGATCTGTGACCTACTGTGTGTGTTTTTTCTTCCGTTCTCTCTCCCCATCCCTCCCAGAGAGCAGGACCACGAGGCCCTCCTGGACCACGAGGACTCCCTGGATCACCTGGCAAGGAAGGCATAGATGTGAGTGCGGAGCAGCGGGCGGCAGGCTGAGCTGGGGGAGGGAGGTGGGGTGGCGTGGAGCAAGGGGAGGGCACATTTCATAGAGGAATTCTTCTAGTCCTCCTGTCGTCCAGAGAGAGGCTCCAGGCATTTGGGCAGCACTTCAGAGGAACCGAATTAACAGCCCATGTGCCGTAGGCAAGGAAACCAAGGGGCTCCGTCCTGCTGAGGCTGAGTTATGTCTGGAGGTGCTGAGTGCCTAGGAGTTGCTCAGCGCCTTGCAGGATCAAGCCCTCAGTGCCAAGTGGGAGTTTATGACAAAGCTAGTGTGTACAACAGGGATTTGTTAATCTTCTGGGCATCCTGCAACGCTTTCTCTCTGGTATCTGCAAAGATGCAGGTTAAAGGGTGGAGGACAGTAGTGGGTTTAGTGCAGTAGTTACTGTACGGGGTGTTGTTACTGCACGCTCAGTGCAATACTGTGTATTTTATACCATTAGACAATTGTTTGTTTTAAAACGTGTCAAGCACCTGGCTCTCCAGAGAGGCCCTAGAAAGCCGAATTAAATACACCACGCTGGATGCTGATCTCACACTGGCTTGACACCACTCTAGCTACACTGTCTTCAATGGAATTACCCCAGTTTTACACCAGTCTGATGGAGATCAGAATCTGGCCCATTGATTCCACTTGGAATTTAAATGTCCTTAGTTTGTAGCAAGAGGCAAATTAAATCTATGGGAATACTTTTTTTGGTGGTTAATTCCTTCTTATTAACCCTTCCCCCGACTGCAGGGTTAGCATCTCGGCTCCTGCAGAATTTAGTGAAGCAGGAAATCTTGTCCTATTTCTTTTAGTTGAAGTTTCCACTGAAATGAATTGAAATTTATACCCACTGGATAAAGACAGACTTGTCTTCCACACCTATCACAGTGGATTAAAATCGGTTCAGGTGATCTCAAAGGAGACTATTCATATCTCAAATACTAAGGATCAGATTCTGATCCTTTCATTCATGTTGAGTAGCACCTTACTCCTTGAGCTACTTGTCGAGTAATTTTCCTACTCATCATGAGTAAGAGTGTCAGCATGGGGCCTTAAAAGCAGCCTTTCAAAATTCTATTCCTCCCATGCAAGAAAGTTTATTTTGACTGAGAAAGCTAAAAAAAGGTTTATTCCTTTGCATCCTGTAACGGGTGAACAAGAAGCTTTTGTGCCTGTGATTGCAATTTTTTATGACCATTTTGCAAGGCTGGCCACAGTGAAAACATCATTGTTTTGCAGCCATTTCCCTCCATGTGTTCACTAGACTAAGGGAAACCATTTTACTAAATAATCTTATATTAGTTTTTAATAATGAATGGTTTAGAGAAAGTAGGTCGGGAACTTCTATCTGAAGTTTTGTAATAGAAGAACAAGGCAATTTAAAATGAAAGATAGCAAAGGAAGTTCTTTTCCACACAATTAGCCTGCAGAACTAATTGCCACAAGTTATCATTGCACGCCAGATCTTAGCAGGATTCAGAAAAGGGTTGGATATTTCTATGAGTAACGACAAAATCTAGAGTGGTGATAAGGATTAAAAGAAGACCAAGAATTTTAGGGTGGGTATAAACCTCAAGCTTCAGTTCATAGACCATCATCTAACTAATGGGGATCAGGCAGAAACTTTTCCTGGAAGCAGGCTGTTCTGTTACTGCTTTCTGCTGGGCTTCTTTCATCTTCCTCTGAAGCCGGTGTTACTGGCTGCTGTCAGAGACCGGAGACTGGGCTCGATGGATGACCGGTATGACCCAGTATGGCAATTCCTATGTTCCAAATACTGTGCGGTTCCCACTAAACAATTTCCCGCATAAACAGAAGTCAGTGTCCTTTGATTTTAATAATCCAAAGACCATAGCGTCATAGAAAAATATAGGGCTGGAAGGGACATCAGGAGGTCATCTAGTTCGGGCCCCCCACACTGAAGCAGGAATTTAGTAGATCTAGTCCATCCCTGACAGATACGTTTCCAATCTGTTCTTAAAAACCTCCAGCTTCCCTAGATAACCTGTTCCAGTGCTTAACTCATTATAATTAGAAAGTTTTCTCTAATATCTAACTTAAATCTTCCTTGCTGCAGCTTAAGCCAATTGTTTCTTATCCTTTCATTGGCTGACGTTGAGAACAACTGATAGCCACCTTTAAAACAGCCTTTTACATATTTGAAGAAGGTTATCAGGTCCCGTTCTCCCCCCCGCCCCCAGTCTTCTTTTCTCTAGACTAGAGATGCCCAATTTTTTTTCAATCCTTGTTTTCGAAGGTCTTGTCATTTTTGTTGCTCTTTTTGGATGCTCTCCAATTTGTCCACATCATGTCACAATGCAGGCAAATCAGTGCCGTCAAAGTGCAGCAGTCTGCTTAGATAGATGTTTTTGAAGATGTGTCAGCTGTTCTAAAACGAAAAGAAATAAAATGCTATTCCTCACTCTACATGGACTGGGTTTCCCTTCAAGGAACCAAAGGCCACGCTTTCAAACGTGGCCTGTAATTCTAGGAACCTCTGTTCTGGGCCCCACCCTGAGACGCCGCTGGCCCAAGCGCTCACGACTCAGCCAAAGTCAGCGGGAGCTGGAGATGGTCAGCACTTCTGAGGCATCGGGCTTAGCGTGTCTCAGGTGGGAGACCCAGAAACGGAGACATCCCTAACTAATGGCCATTCATGAAAACTTGGCCCTCATTGTCCAACGTGGGCCTGATCCTGCAAAGCTCTGTGCACCGGTTGCACATTTTTAGGGGCTTGTTGAAGGAAATGGACTTGGAGGGCACTTGGCACCTGCAGGATGAGGCCAGGTAATAATAATGAATAATTAATCAGCTGAAGCTAATCTTAATAGATCATAATATTAGACTGAGTTAAATCTCAGGGGAGCCAAACCCTGCAGACTTGCAAAGGGAGGTTGGTGAGAGTGTTGACCATGTAAGGAAGGCAGGATTTCTCTCCTAGGCTGTCCTTAACTGAATGAAACAAGGATGCAGCAGGAGCAAAAAGAAGGGAAACATGCTGTCATGTATTAATAAATGAGAAACGCTCACCAGTCATTCAGGGTCAGAGCCTCATACCATTCCACCCATTGAGTCTGCAAGGAATCCCATTGACTCAGAGCATCAGGGTCAATATTTCTGTGGTTAGCATCAAGTGCACCGGCATAGTTTAAGGACCACCGTTTGCCAGGGTTCTCTGAGAAGACGTTGTGAGGTGTGTAATCCCACATGGCTGTGCCTTTTTATAGCTCTGAATATAGAGGAACCTATTGAAGGTGTGTCAGAAATCTAGGCTGGTTTTTCTTTAATGAAAGAGCAACTGTGTAAATTCTAATACTGTAAAGAAATAACTTATTATTTTATACGCGTGAGATCATTTTCAAAGGCATGCTCTGAACTTTTCTTGAGCATTTTAAAATACTATGATTTCCTCATGTTTTTCCTGTGATTTTCTAAAACCATCCTGGCCACGTTCAGTTCATAGATGGCTTTAGAGAAATGACTGTGCAGAATTACTAAAGAGCATTCGTGGTCAGATGTACACTGCAAAAGTGTGCAGCAACTGCTGAATATAGGTCTCAAACAATGAACAGTACATAACGTGCAACTAAATTATTCAGGCCAACTCTGGATAATCCTCAAATGAATCCTGCGCTATTGGCACCCTTTCCAAAAGCTCCTTGCTTCGCTTCTGCCTCTCACTTTCAATCCCATTGAAGCCTCCTCTAATTATCTCCTTTAAAACACTGCATGTTCCGTGATCTGTAACAAGGTAATTGCTTAGCTCCCAAGAATACAAAGGGTGTGTTGTGATTAAACCAGTCACCTAAGAGTTGCTCTGAATTATTTCCAGCATGCAATTGTTACAAAGCCATTGTCAGTTCTCTAACAGACATTTCCCCTCCGGTGTGACTTTAATATAGGGTGGCTGAGACTAAGTAAACTTACTTCCATCTCATGTAAAACCGGGGAGAACTATTCCATTACTGACAGCCACTGATTCGAATTCACTAAGAAGGATGACAGCGATTTGCCACCAGAGGTATAAATGCTGATCAAAGTTCTGATTCTGAATGGGTTCTGCTAGCACAGACCCCACTGCTCAGGTAGAAACCCCCTGAAATCAAATGGGGACCCCACAGGGGTTCACGATAGCAGATCCTAAGGTGTGATCAGGTCACAAGACAGGAGAACTGTTCCTGAGTGGCTTTCTCTAATGCTGTGACCTTGCTGCCACGTATCAGTATCACAGAGGCCTGTAGGGAAAGGGGGCAGGGTGATGGTGTTAATCTAGAGGAGGATATAAAACATTGCTGTTCATTCTGTTATTCAAAACCTGCCATCCCAACATACCTTTCCCCCCTCATTTTCATTATTAAAGCTCTTCCCCAGCTTGGATAAGGGCACCTATCTGTGGCATATTTCTGAGCAAAGGACTGCAATGAAATGGCCTCTGCAAGTCAGAGCACAAAGACTCCCTCTATCTACTCACCCTCCAAGCTGTGCGTTCTCTCAACAGCCGCGCAACACGCAAAGCCCTGCACTCTGACTGACTCAGGGCAGCCGGTCCAAGCATAGGGATTTGCACAGAAACTTTATGGTTGCAGACGTAGTAAACATAGAGTCAGTTCTCAAATTCTTCCACCTTCACAACTTCCCCCACCCAAAATGCCTACTGTAAAGATGGCCACCGCTAACCCTACTCAGTAGCCACTCCTGTGCCTCCACATCTCCTCCTAAGGAAGATTGTAGCTCTCACCTCCCCGCCCCCCAAGTGTAATTAACTAAAAAAAAATTTAAAAGGCAATGTAGGTTTATTATTTATTTAATGCCGGCTCCATTCCAGCCATAGGCCCCCTCTCCAGCATCTCTTTGCCCTGGAACTTACTTTACCCAGGATACAGCTAGTACTTCTTAAACCTGGAGCACCCTGAAACAATCCTCTAAGTAGCCTGCTGGAGGGGGAATGACCCACAGGTCTCCTTGATCACTGTCACTGAAAGGTGGTTTAAAAAATAAAAGCAGAAACTTTGTCGGAAAAGTAAACCCTGCCTTAAATTGTTTTCTGAAGGATTTCCCCCAAGCAGACATCACTGTGGTTTCTAGGCAAAATGGAGGAAAAAAGGTTAATATTCTCTCTGCTTCCGGGTGACTGGGGATTCCCTTTCCACAAGGGAAATTTCCAGGTGGTGTCATAACTGGTTCTACGCCACCCATTTCTGACCCCCACTCCAGCGAGGGCACGGGACAGGAGGGAGAAAATGCTGTGCTCCAGTGACCACAAGGCTGCTCTAACTTTATGCCGGGATGGCTGGCTCCAGGGTTAGGAGGGTAGAAATGTGGCAGGTAGCCATCCATACCCCCTCCCCAGAGCACAGCTCAGGAGATCCGAGACATGTTAAACTCGTGGGCATAACAGGCAACACGTTTTCTTAGATTATTAAGAAACATTGCAATATAGACTTTATCATCTTCGTCCCAGATACATAACACTTCCTGCGCAGATTAATATAATTAGACCATCTTCTTTGCGATTTTTTTATTTTAAAATAGCTAGAGGGAATGCAATAGCAGTTTTTAGGCTAAAGAAAATCTTATTTTTCTCTTCATTTCAGCTATATTAATTAAATGCTCAGCTTGTCTGGAGCAGTTGATCGTTCTGTTTTATGTACCGAGATGGCCCCATTGCTGGAGAATCGCAATTTGTAATGCATTTATCCCCACAAGAGGGAGGTGCTTTTATCCCCATGTTGCAGACAGAGGCACAGTAAGACCAAGGATTTGCCCAAGGAATCCAGTGGGAGAGCAGGGGATTGAGCCCTGGGATTCCCAAACCAGTGGGCCATCCTTGCATCATGGTGTGTAGAGAAGATGAGCATTCCTCCCAGGAAGTGAACACAAAGCTCAGACAGTTCCCATTCTTTCATATCGCTTGGTCCGTGGCCTATGCTAATCTTTAAACAATATGTATGGGCAGCATAGTATTCGGGGTGGGGAGACATGGTCCAGCACCAGGAGTGGAGATTTTGGAGATTTTTTTATTTGTCACCTTTGTGCCGAGTTGTCAATGCCATAATTTTAACCTGGCTCCCCAGCAACACTGAAAATAGGAGCCATTGTCCAGTGGTGCAATGTTATCCGTTGGCAGCTACCTTACTTTTGCAATTGAATTGGGAGGGATGGAGATCAGTTGTTTTTTGCTTGTGCCATCTCCTCCCTCCCAAAATTAACCCTAAAAACAGAGCCCATGAATATAATCCGTTCAGACACATGTAGTCTGTCTCATCACTGGTTTATGGTCACATGTTCCCCTGAGAGTGTCACAAATCCTCAGGATGTCCTCTTGTGTCTGGTTTTGCATTTGCATATACAACTCAACAGAATATGTAAAAGCTTCGGTGGACAGACGCCTTCCTCTTTGCTTTACCTCTGAGGAAACCCAGAGTGTAAGTTATTCCTGGAAGGGTCTGGATAAATTATGCTGTTTGAGCAGCATTCCGAATCATAGGACTGGAAGGGACCTCGAGAAGTCATCAAGTTCTGTCCCCTGCACTCATGGCAGGACTAAGTATTATCTAGACCATCCCTGGCAGGTGTTTGTCTAACCTGCTCTTAAAAATCTCTAATGATGGAGATTCCACAACCTCCCTAGGCAATTTAGTCCGGTGCTTAACCACCCTGATAGTTAGGAAATTTTTCCTAATGTCCAACCTAAGCCGCTCTTGCTGCAATTTAAGCCCATTGCTTCTTGTCCTATTCTCAGAGGTTAACAAGAACAATTTACCTCCCTCCTCTTTGTAACAACCTTCTATGTACCTGAAAACTGTTTATCATGAATGAAAACTGTTAACTGAACCATCTCTCTCTCCAGAGGTTGCTGGTGAATAACATGTGGGTTTTGCTAGATAGAATTGCCAACCCTCCAGGATTGTCCTGGAGTCTCCAGGAATTAAAGATTAATCTTTAAAAACATAAGAACGGCCACACTGGATCAGACCAAAGGTCCATATAGCCCAGTATCCTGTCTTCTGACAGTGGCCAATGCCAGGTGCCCCAGGAATGCACAGAACTGGTAATCATCAAGTGATCCATCCCCTGTCGCTCATTCCCAGTTTCTGGCAAACAGAGGCTAGGGACACCATCCCTTAATCTTTAATTAAAGATTATGTCAAGTGATGAAACTTCCAGGAATATGTCAAACCAAAATTGGCAACCCTCATAGATGTGGAAGATTGGAACAGTGAACTTCATGTTTCAGAGGATGGCAGGATCAATGGCTTAGCATATAGTAAGTCATGGGCAGACTCTAATGAGCGTGTATGTGGCTGCTGCAAAGAGACTGTGATAGGGAAAAGAATGAGGAGTACTTGTGGCACCTTAGACACTAGCAAATTTATTTGGGCATAAGCTTCCGTGAGCTAAAACCCACTTCATCGGATGCATGCAGTGGAAAATACAGTAGGAAGATATATATATACACAGAGAACGTGAAAAAATGGGTGTTGCCATACCAACTATAACGAGACTAATCAATTAAGGTGGGCTATTATCAGCAGGAGAAAAAAAACTTTTGTAGGAGAGATTTCAGTTTCATTCTCTTTTTTCATTCCTTTAGGGAGAACCTGGCCCACCTGGTTTACCTGGCCCACCAGTAAGTATTTACTGATCAACAACTAATTTACTCTCTCGCTTGTAAATCTGCTATGGGGAATGATGTATGTGAATCACTAGTTTTTCAGCAGCAAGGGTCACAAATTGCACTTTCTCCTCTCAGTCCTCAGCAGAACTCCTATTTGCATGTTTGGCATGCAAACTGAGAACAACTGGCAGCATGGAGTCAGCACTGACCTTAAGAAGAAACATACTTTCCTGTTTCATAGTTACAAGAGCAGAGGATCTGGGATAAAGCATCAGAATAGTGGAGCTAAACGGCTTGTATTGTCGTTCAACTCTCTTTGCAGACATTGTTTTTACAGTTCTTTCAACATGAGAAAGAACACTATGTAAATGCAGAGTTTTCATATGGTTATGCAGCACTCTCAGCTCTGGCCTCCAGTTTGCACACTTGTTTCTGGGTGTCCAAACCATCATTTGGGCATCCTTCTGGTTGCTTGGCTTGCACACACATATGCAGCTTTTGCACATTGAAAATGTGTGTAGGCCTCTCCTGCAACTGCTTTTAGTTTTACCTGCAAATGTGGACTGTAAAATCAAGCTTGGAAATTTGGCCCATAGCGGAAAAATATGCAAACGAAAATGATAAGTAAAGCAGCGTCAGAGATAAAATGAAATATTGTGACAGAATTTGCAATAGGTGGCAAAACATGCGGGACTCAGTCCTCCACTCTGGCTCTGTAAAACTGAAGAGGGGCTGTGTGACAGTGCTAGCATTATGTCACCTTTGTGGCTCCCCATTCCTGAGATCATCCAGGGTCCTCTTTAGCTCCCTAGGCATCTTAGAGTGGTCCTAGGTCTCCTCAGAACTGTGCCAGCTGCAACACCCCCAACCACACCCTGACGCCCCCTTGTGCTCGGGGCTGCAATGGGGATCAGTACACGTACATGGAACTGATGTACACGAGAAGAAAGCTGTGCCAAGCAATTACCAGGTTTATAGAAAAATGAACCAAAGCACATAAGTGTCTAGAGATTTACATACTTGTAGATTAATTATCAAATCAATTTATTTTGAAGACATTTTCCTGCATTGCAGGATATAAATTTAGCACTTTAAGAAATGAGCTGATCATCTTCTTATCTTGTATCAAGTCATAGCATGCTTCTGTAATTATTATATTAACAGTGACTGTCTATTAATCTGGTTTAGGGGCCGAAAGGTGCACCAGGGAAGCCTGGAAAGGCTGGTGAAGCAGGGTTACCTGGCCTTCCTGGAGTGGATGTGAGTATTTCAGCTTCTTCTCTTGGATTGATCAAATATTTTACATTGGCAGCAGATGTGGGTACTGAGCTGAATCTGTGTCTTATGCACCAAGGGAAATCTTATGCGAGAGCAATGCAAACAGCAAATTTTAGTTGTTGTTGGGTTTTGCAACATGTTTTGATCAGCGCAAAGTCAAAACTTAGCGCATCAGTGGTCTATCCTAGGCACTAACTGTCAATGACCTGTTTTGATGATATGATCAGCGCTGTCTCTCTTCATGGTTACTCCCAGTGGCCCAGAACAGCCTCTGGCTGTTGTAGTTTCAGGTGATTTGAGGCGTGGAGAACATTGAAATCATCAGGTGTTTATTGTGCAAGCCTCAAAATCTTCCTTTTATTTGGGCTGTTTGCACCCACCTGAAGCATCAATGGTGTGAGCCAAGAGTAAACAAACCTACAAGAGTTCAGATTTTCTTCAGTTCCGTTGCAAGTGGATTCTAGGTTCCCAGTAGGTTCAGAATAAACCTCTTCAGTTCTCGTCAGGGTGCCAGATGTCTTTGGTCCTTTCCATCTTGGGATGCCAAATTACTGAAACACTGATATGGCTGCTGTATAACCAAGTACAAAAATAGACACATTTCTGATTCAGGAATGAGGAAACAAAATATCAAACTGATAAAGTTTGGTCAGTTAAGTCCTTTCAAAATATATGAATGTAAACCAATTCATATTTTTGGATTCAGTGGCTCTTCAAGGCTTAATGCATGTACTTCATTAGAGTCCATGTGCAGCTGGCTTTAAGTGCAAATGAGGCAAGGCTGTGATCTGATGGTAACTGTGCTACCAAAAGCCAATTACTAGTATGAGATCTAGTGGTTTGAATGTAATGGTAGAGTACTGAAACCGTAACTGGCCAGTCTTCCATGGACTTCTTGCAGCACGGCATTATTCTTTGCTGTCCTGTAGCTCATCGTGCATTGTTCCGCCCTAAAATCAGCATATATCTACCTTCCTGATGAGAGCGCAGCAGCTGCATTCAGAGAATTGCAGGTCTCCGAGCCTAAGCATACGATGACTGCCTGCCACCAAGCATCTAACCAGATTACGTACGTACAGCTCTACGTCTCTTGATCCAAATGCTGTAGCATTGTACTATGAGAACCTGGAAGTGAAACTGACTCAAATCATGTCTGTTTTCATTCTCCCAGCTGAGTGAAATTCTGATAGTAAAAACTACATAAACAAGGAAAATAAAACTAGATTATCTGAACAAGTGCAATGCTATGGTGCTTGGGTTGCAAACACTATGAGGAAATCTTTAAACATACATTTAATTGAATTATTTTAAAAAGTGGCTTATAAAAACATGTCTTGTTACTATTAGTAATATTTTTTAAGGTAACCTAAATTTGGTTCTAAACTCCCTGGCAGTGTCCCTTTAGCTATACATTTGCTTCTGTAATTACTGTACATTCCCTTTCCTCAGCAAGGTTCTGGAGATTGACTTCTCTCACCTCCTACACAACCTGCAGAACCTCTTTCATTCTGATCTTTGACCCTTACATACTAATGAGGTTTGCCCTTCTGGGTGGTTAATCACCTGCTTCCGCTTCTGAGCACATATCTCTCTCACTATATCTGATCTGATGGCTTGTTATACTAGCCATCTTTCCTCTAGACAATTTCCAATGCCTTGAGAAAAGGCAGTGGGGTAGTCCCTCAGCTGGTATAAATTGTCATAGCTCCACTGATTTTCATAGAGTTATGACTGTTTATACCTGCTGAGAATCTATCCCAGTCTTCATCAGTCTCCTTTTATGGTTTTCCTAACTATCCTGTATATTTGATAAGCTAAACGTTTAACAGTCGCTGTCCTCCATTATGGAGCGCGTGCCTCTTCCCATTTTCCATTTGTCTCCTTCCTCTGAGTTGTTTCATTGCTGGCTTGAACGTTGCTTCTAGGGGGATGGTCCCCCAGCTCTACATCTGTTGACATCTGCCTCAGCCCTCTGTCTCCCATTGCTCTCTGACTCAATCAGGTCCTCTCTACACCGTGATTTCTTAGTACTGAACATTTCAAAGACTCAAGTTCTTCTCCTAGGTAAAAAACCAAACCAACCAAAACCCTGTGTTCTCATCTCTTATTTCACTGTCACTCTGCTTAACTTTCCTTCCAAGGCCCAAAAACCTGGATTCATCCTTAACCCAAACCGCCTTCTTCACACCACCTCTTCTGTTTCTGTATGCATCTGTCACCCTCTCTGAAACTCTCCCTGGATTGGTCCTTACATCAACCCTGACTTTGCGGAAATCCCTTATTCACATGTTGATCACTTTCCTCCTTGCCCATGACAGTTCCCTTTTATGATCTTAAATTCCCATTCTTGATATTTCACAGAGTCCAATGCTACAGCCAGGTCACTCTTGGCCTAGGAATTGTGAACAATAGCAGCCCATCCTTCATCACTTAATCCTGGGTCTATCTCCAAAACCCAATTCATGTTTGCCTTCCTGGTTTCCTGACATCTCTGTGGACTCACTCCACTCCATCTAACTTTGCATTTCTACTGCCTCATCTGTCTGCCAGTGACTTCCTTCCTCCCTCTAAGATATTGACCCATGGCCTATATTTGACTCTGACCTTAAAACTTTCCTTTTCTTTAATAGCATTTTGTAAGCATTTTGAGTCCTACTGAGTCACACCTGCCCATTAACCGCAGTTTACTCCAAGAAATAGATCACGCAAAGTGTAGGATACCACTTAGAGTGAGTATTGGAGGCCCTTCATGATACTGCAGCACATAAAAGACGTTTGTGTCTAAAGGTATGGTATTGTTATTGCGCTGTCTAATTTATTGTGATACTAGAAAAGGGATTTTAATTGCTTGCTGGCCCAATCCTGCCAGGACTTACACACCTGAATAACTTCATTCATGTGAGCA